ATGATATTTGTCTTTCCTCGCTTCATTAATTTCATCCTTTTTTAACCAGTATCTTTCTCTTGCATTTTCTTTCATTTTATCACTAAACTTTTCGTATTTTGCTTTGTCTCTTTCTTTGTATTTGTCAGGATTTTGTTTTCTGTCTTCCTTTTTCCATTCACTATACTTTTCTGCTTGTTCTAATCTGTCTTCATCTGTTGCTATTGGATTTATTTGATTTAAAGTCGCTTTTAGTTGTTCTTTATATGTTCTTTCTTTCATTGATGCTTCTAAACGGTTTTCACATTTCAAATTAGATATTAAAACCATTTCAAAATTAATCCATCCTCCATTTTCACGAATAAATCGATATACATATTGATTGTAGTTTTTACCGTTTTCTTTCTCAATATTATTTTTATGAGCACATTTTCGTTTAACAAAATTTGTAGTATGTCCAACATAACAGTCTTTGATACTTAAATTTTTACAAACAATTTTATAAAAATAAGTATTAGAATAGTCCATTACCTTTTTAGGCATTGTATAAGATTATATTGGATATATCTTTAAATATTATTTATCAGATATTCTTAAATAATGTGAAAACTTTTTCATAAACATTTTATTTGGGTTCTTTTCTAAAAGGTCAATATACAAGAAACTATGTGGTTCGTCAGTGGCGGTCTCATATATTTTATAAATTAGTTTCTTGCTTTCGTGTAAATTATCGCTTCTAACAATTGCTGATAATTCATCTTGCAATATTTCTATCTCTTTGAAGTTTCTAACTTTATAATAAAACAAATGACTTATATTTACTCTAATAATTGGTGGGACAGTTGATGATTTTTGAAGACTGACAAGTGTTGATATTCCACTATGACGACCTCTACAAAATAAAGAATTTAACAATTTGTTATTTCTTGTTATTGCTGGATTATCAGATACATCATCCAAAATTACCAAAATATTAAATAACTTCTTCATTCCTTGTTTTTTCTGGTATTCAATTATTTTATTTTGAGTTTCTATAACTCTTTCTAAATCTTCAACATTGAACTCATCCCACCAACACGGTTCTTTATCAGTATCTACTTTCAAACCTTCCTTAATGTATTTCTTCACTGGCAACCAAATACTATCCAATTTTACAGATGGGGACCAGATAAAAACTCTTTCAAATGCTCCTCTATAAATATCAAGTATCATTGATACAAGTAGGGTGCTCTTTCCAGAACCAGACGGGCCTACAATCATAGCTCTCATCGGTAATTTAGGGACGACCTCGTGCTTACTTTGCTTAAAGTCATATTTGATTTCATCAATTGGTTTTACATCAGGCATAATAAAAATAATATTAAAGACATTTAGAAAATAATTTAATATTTATTATTTTATATGAATAGAAGTTATTCAGATTATATTGATATAATAGATGAAGTAGAGAATATAGAACAAGTTGTTATAACCAATAATAGATGTAAAAAAATATGTTATTTTATTTTAGAATTAATTAAGTTTTTGATACAATATATCAAAAATAAAAATGTGAATATTAATATAAATGCCTCCAAAGAAGAAGCAAGAGAAACAAAAAGAGATTGAATGTGTCAAATGCGATAAATGCGGTCAAGCAATTAAACCACTAAATGAATTAGAGTTAGATAAAGAACATGTCAAAGTTAAATGTTGGCCGTGTTCATGTGGTCGAAACATGCATACAGTACATACAGTAAAAAAGAAAGATGCTGACGGTAGCACAGTTGAAGAAAGTTGGGTAGAAAACTTCAAAAGTGGATTTGGTAGGTTATTTACACCTGAGAAAGAATGATGAAAAAGCAATAGTTAAAATTATTTCTATTATTATTTATAATGCAAGATGGTATAAATAATATTCTTAAATTCATTGATGTAAAAGAATTGAAATTGAATAATTTTATTGAAGAATATAACGAAAATGATATATTAATTAATTTTGTTAATGACTTTAGAAATAGCAAAATTGATTTTAACATGTTTTATAATTCTATTAATTATGCTGATTTATTTGAACAATCAGATTTAAAATTTTATTGTAAAAGAATATATTCATATACTTTAAGATTTATTGCTAATTATGATAATAAAAATGCTATTCAGTTTTATGAAATTACATTGAGAAAAATGAATAATATTTACAAAAATAGTAACATTAATGTTGTTAATGTGTTTGAATGTATTAAATGTTTAATAATTTATATTACAGATAATATTGAAAAGTTTCATAAATATTCAAAATTTAGAAAAACTATTATTTGTAATTTAATTGGTAAATTGAATAATAATTTAACGAGTTACACAATAACTAATTTTGAATTGACTTATAATGATATATGATTTTGTAAAATAAAAGTTTAGTTTTAAAAGTTTTATTTTATAATATAATATATATTTACATGGATGAAGGATTAGAAAAGATTGTTAAAAAACTGAACAAGGTTTTAGAACAGAATAAGAATATTTTAGAAATCTTGCAAGAAATGGAAAAGAAGAAACCATTAACAAACAGTTATCAAAGTAAAGAAGTAGATAGAACCAGTGCTGAATATAAAAATAAGAAACAACCGTATTTAAACAAACTTAATAACAAAGAAATTAAAGAACCGAAGGCTTCAACTATGACATTTTATCAAATCGACTATGATGAAGATACAGGGGTTTATTCATAAAGTTGCATTTACTCATAGATAATATTATCTAAATATCTTTAATAATGAACTTATTAGAGATGTTTAGCGGAACAGGCAGTGTTGGACTTGTTGCAAAGTCGCTCGGTTTCAATGTTATTTCATTGGATTTGAAAAATGCTGATATAAATTGATATTTTGAAATGGGATTATAAACAATTTGATAGGAACCATTTTGATTTTATCCAAGTCATGCAAATATAGTGTAGCAAAAACTAGGGGCATTAGGAATATCGAATATGCAAATAGTATTGTCTTAAAGAGAGTTTATGGATTATTAAAAAATCAGAGTTTATGGATTTTGATTTTAAAGATGTTGATTATTGTAAATATGGAATGCCTTACAGAAAACGCACTAGGCTATGGAATAACATTACAACTTGGAAACCTAAAGATTTATGTAAAAAGGATTGTGGCAACATCAGGAATAATAAACATATTGAAACTGTGCAGAGACTGCCAAATGGAAACAAGGAAAATTGGGGAGACAATCCAACAATACATAAGCAGGAAGATTTATACAAAATACCTAGCGAATTAATTAGTGAAATCTTGGTGAGTTTGAATTAGGGTGGTTCATCACAACATCCACCATCATTGCATTCATCGCGACAAAGACGAAAGCCACATTTAAGATGCTTGAAACTGACATGCTGGATGCTGAAACTGACATGCTGGATGTTGAATCTGACATGCTGGGTGCATGCTGGATGCTGAAACTGACATGCTGGACGCTGAATCTGACATGCTGGATGTTGAATCTGACATGCTGGGTGCATGCTGGATGCTGAAACTGACATGCTGGACGCTGAATCTGACATGCTGGATGCTAGATTTGAGCTGTGGGATGGTGCATTCCATCACACATGACCCTTGTGTGATACATCCTAGTCTGACATCTGTACATTCTGCAACTGCGCCGTGAAAATTGTATAAATTGGAGAGATAATCAAACTTTAATCAAATGTGTGTTGAGAATAAAAAGAATAAATAATAGAAATGTAGAAGATGAGATTTTAATATTTCTAACTGTAAATAAAATACCACCTTATGATTATGTTAAACAGTTTCTTAAAATCAGTAAGAAAAAATATGAAATGATTTATGATATATTATGGATGTTGGGATATAGTCAAGAGAAAGGAGAAGATGTTAAAGAAAATATCAAATTATTTATTGAAAGTAAAAAGTTTAATATTCAAAACACATTGAGAGATATTAATATTATTTTTAAAATGATGTATGAAAGAAGAAAGATTTGTCAATTAAATTATTATCCTGTACTGAAATTATAATCATACTATAATAATAACATGTAAAATTTTATATGTTATAATTATACTGTACTTATAGTTTGTAAAGATTGAAATATTTTATTTTTCCTTGATTTGGCTGACTCTTTCAAAGTGCGTTGTTTGAACTTGGCATGCTCTTTTGATTTTTTCGTGCTTTGGCTGTTTGTATTTTATTTTGTTTGATACTCTTCTGATATTTTTTGTTGGTATGTTGCTTTGTTTTTGTTGATGTGTGTTTTTGAGTTTGTGTTCTTTGATGGTTTTTATTTTTGCTGTTTTGTTGGTATGCTTGTTTGAATTATTTAATGTTTTATGCTTTGATTAAATATTTTGTTGGGGGTTGTTCTGGTTTTTGAGTTGCTTGGTGGTTCTTATCTTGTTTTCTGTGAATTTTGCTGATTTTGTTGTATGCTGTTTGATTTTTTGGTTTTAGTTCTAGAAGTGCCATTTTATGTATTTTTGGGGGAGGGGAAAAGCGAAGATTCTCTTTGGAGAAGAGATCTGAGCGCCCTTGGCCCCTTTGGGGCCGAGGCGAATACCGGGTTTTGATTATGACTCAGGTGGCCATGGGTCAAAAGCCCGTACCCCCAGTGAACATCCCAATCCCCACTAAAATAGGTTCTAAAATGGGTGGTGAATTCACCGAAAACCCCAAAATGGAATCCCAAAACGGTTTTGACCACCGCAGCCAGGTGTGATTACAGCCTACTTCCCGTGCCCCAGCCCGGAGGAGATCGCCGCGATTCATGAAGAGACTCTCTCAATCTCTGCCTGGTTCAAGTTTGGCGACGCTGGGGTTCACATCTTGCGAGGATACTTGGGAGAAGAGGTGGCCTTCTACTTTCGTTTTGTAGCGCATGTCCGAAATGCAGTGCTCGCCTTGGGCATTATTGGTGTTGGCTTTTGGATTTGCAGGCGGGGTCTTTGGGGAGAACTGTTTGTTTAAAAGAAAGCCATTTAACCGAGGGCGTTTTGCATTCTTGTTGGCAGCTGCCAGGCATGTGGATATCCTTCAAGACGAGCAAGAGGGAACCACCAGGACGGTCATTGCCATGGTGGTCTCGATTTGGGCAGCTACCATGCTGCAAGTCTTCGCTCGCCACACTTCACGAGTAAGGCAAGTCTGGGGGGTGCCTGCAGAGGAGGAGTTTCTTTGGAAAATGCATAGCAAAGTTTGAACCGTCTGCATTTTTGCTTGTCTTTCTCTGAGATTGTTGCATCTTCTCAGGAGACGAAGTGGCCATGGGGCATAACCAATGGCTCCATTTTGGGGTGGATGAAGATCCATTTGCCACCTATTTTGATCTTTTCACCCAATCCCCACTAAAATCCCGACAAAGATGGGTGGTGCACCTACCCCAAAATGGTATCATTGGTTTTCACCCGCAGCCATGTCTACATAAGGTTCGAACAAATCAACCCGGACTGGAATCATCAGAGTTCAGATGAAGGTTGCGCCGTCCTGGTGAGTCTCTCCGCGGTCTTCTACATGGCCGCCGGGTCATCAATTGGCAGACGTTTTACCATGCCTCCAGGCAAAGCACAGGTTCCCAGCGGTGCATTTTGCCAAGGGATGTTAGGACTTTGACTTTTTGCCAACTAATGGGTTTTCCATTAAAACACTAAAAGTTAAACTTTTAGCAGGGGAGCAGAAAGCAACCGAGTTGCGCTGGAAGCTTCCAAAGGGTTGGCAATTTGGAGCAAACGAGCCATCTTTTGAACCCTCCAAAATGAACAAGGAGGTGAACCCCGGCTTGCTGGAATGCGTGACAGTCTCCATACAATGCATTGGGATGTGAGTAGCCATAGCATGCAGTGTAGATAAAGTCAAGCACCCCCCTGGCGGCCTGCGCAAACCGTGCGTAGAATGGCAGCCCTCCCTTCCACTAACATGGCACCTGACAGAGGGTCCATTCAACAGGAACATCTTCCAGGTACCCTCCAGGTGCTAGTGGAAGGGAGGGTAGAAAAGACCATGTCTTGGATCCGCCCAAACTCTCTTTCAGGGGACCCTGTTTCGAATGATGAGAAGTGGATCGGAAGAATTGTTTGCACATCTCTGAAACTCTATGGAACAACTTCGACGGTTTTTTCGGGCCAGAGTCTGGTGCGGCGCCCGAGGCCCGACGTTGAACCATCAGTATCATGGGTTTTGCGCAGGACTCGCTTGCGAGATCTGGTATGCGCAGACCAAATTTGTGAAAGGCGCGAGCGCCCGAAGATGGTTTACTCCTCTAGCTGAAATTGCTTTGACGCGTGACGCGCTCCCAACAACGTCACGCCACGCTGCAGCCTGTTTGCAGCCTGGGGAAACAGTGATGCGGCGGAGTTCCGGAGTAGTTTGGCGCGTCCTGAAACGGTTTAACAGTTCACAACGGTTCGGAGTCGTTCCGACGCCCCTGTCTGCAAAACCTATCAGAGCAACCGCGCACGAGCTGGTGGTCGGGAGCTTGCGCACGAGCCCAGCTTGCATCAAACTTGTGGTTGAAAGCAGCGTTTTACTTGCCCTTCGGGTCTCGTCGCTGCTGATTGACTTTCTGCTGGTGTGAAATTTCAAGCGTCGTGCCCAGGGAGGGGTTCCGGGGGCCAATTTTGCGAGACTTGCGCAGTTGCGGGTCGTATGAGTAGTAAGCAAGGAAAGAATATGCAGCTGTCCGGACTGCTCCTGACTGAGTTCCGGAACCGTTCCAGACCGTCTCTACCATTCAGCCTTCCAACTAGAACGACGGTTCCAAACTGTTGCCGGCGCGAAAACTCGCTGCCATAGTTCCACAATCCTAGATAGTTCCTGAGGTTTCCTGGGTTCCAAAGAAGAGTTCCGGAGCTTGCACCTGTGCGTAAAGCGGGTTCCGGCTTGTCCATGTCATGTCCCGGAAAAAAAGAGAGAAAAAAACAACAGGACCAGTAACACTACTGAACGGATCCTTGGCCAAGGGCCTTGTGCGACCTGGAACAAAGGGATGCCATTGGGATGATGCTTCGCAGCCGATGCATCCGCACGCCTCACTTTCCGCCATCGCTTTCCCACCAGTCGCCGGCTTCGTTTTCTCCTCTCAGCCATAGTCCACCCTGGTCAAAACCAATGGGATCCCATTTTTGGTGCACCACCCATTTTAGAACCTAATTTATTGGGAATTCCATGGCCAAATGGGGATTTGGCCACTTCTCCGGTCTAAGGGTCTTGGCCTTGGTTTTTGGCAACATGTGCATGTTTGAGCTCGTCGGCTCGTCGCCGGGACCACCAAAAGTAGGATGCCCTCTGCGATACAATCCCCTTCTGGACCATAGTTTAGCAAGGTATGCGAAGGCCCAGCAGCTGCTCCGACCTGAGTTTACCTCTGATTTCTTTGATCCTGTTGGCCAAGCAAATATCTTTCCGATTCTATTTTCCGTGGCGGAATGTTTGCGCGAGGGTGTTTGACATATCCAAACTGCAGGTCGCATATGTGGGCGCGATCTCATTCGCTCTATCCTGGCAGTACAACCTGGACGAAGATAGCTGGTTGACTAGCACCTTGGCGAATTAGTTTTCATACATGTGAGCAACGCCTGTCAAATGGAGTGTGTCAACTGGGCGTAATACATGAATGGATTCGGGAGGACAAACCGGGTTTCTTCCATGATTGTCACCTCTACGCTTTGCGTGTCGGCCTAACTTCCAGATTCGATGCATGCAGTTTGGAGTCTTGAAACATTACGCCATTGAGCTTCAAGAGGGGGCCATGCTTGTTGTCTCGAGGCATGTCTTCCTTGATTCTTACGGTCATCATCAAAGGGGGCAGCATCCTGTGGTCCCAGCTGGCACCATGGCTGGTGCGGTTGGAGAACCACCGGAGGGAAAGGGCGCGACAGGAGGGGAGCGAATGGAGCAACGATCCGATCAGAGAGCTGTGAGTCTTGTTCGGTTCTCAGCGGGGAGTGAGTTGGAATGACCCCTACAAACCATCCCCTCTGGTTTCCGTTCAGGGAATCCCCTTCCTGTTCATTCCCGAAACCCGGAAGGGTCATTCCCTACGGAGCACCAGCAAGGATTTCAGAGCTGCAAAGGTTTCAATACGCATGTAGGTACTTTTGTGCCCGGCGAACGCTTTATGTTTCTTGACTCGAGTTTTCTTTATCTCAGGTAACCCTTAGTTGGTGGTTTGGATTGGTTTGGATTTGGATTTGAGCGGGTCCTTGATTCTCGTGGAGGGTAAACGGAAAACCACCCCTGAGGACCGCCAAACCACCAATCCAAACCACCAAGTAAGGGTTACTTGAAGACCAACTATAAACCCCTCCCCCCAAAAAAAATGAATAAATATCTAAACAACAAAAACCATAACACAAAACACACCAAAAAAACACCCCCCCCCCAAAAAAAAAACACAAAAAAACAAAAACAGACACAAACAACAACACAAAACACAACAAAAACAAAGAAATAAACAACAAAAACCGACAACACAAAAAAAACGCCCTTCCCACTCCAAGCCACCGGCTCGGCTCGAACGCCCCCCCAAAAAAGTCCGCGCCGGACGCTCGGAGCTCGGAGCTCGGATTTGTCAGGAGAAGCTCTCGGTGCTGCTGGCCGGGGTCAAGGTCTTCGTGGCGAACTGGCCCTTCTTTGAGCACTGCGCCCTGGAAGAAGCGGGGTGAGATGGCTCTCCTTCGCATAGGTGTTCTGTTTGGTTGTTTTGGAAGAAACATCGATGGCGATTCCCTGGTTGACCTGGTGGTTTAATCATCTACCAGGGCCATCTATTTGCCCTAAACGGACACCTATGCTCCTTTGTTTTTTTTTTGCAGGAAGGAACCAATTTGTCGACCCCCGTATGGCCAGGATGTTTTTGCTGGAAACCACCTCAAAAGTGATTGGTGGGACATGATTCCCCAGCTACATGATGTTTATCAATATTAAGATTCATAGCCATGCCAACCAGTTTCTGAATAGCGTGCCTCATTGCGTGAAATGTGGGGGATCAGAACACTTCTGCAGGGGCCAAAAACCACCCCCCTCTGTTAAAAACTGAAGTTGCTTAATATGGGGTTGTCATGCACTTGATCGATGTGGTCTTGGGAGTGTGCGTCAGGGACAAGTTTGATTCCGGCATCATGATGTCTGTGGGTCATTCGTGGCTTTCTCTGCGAGGCTTTCTGACCAGCCGCATCCAAGCAGAGTGCGGCAACAACCTTGAGGTTGTTGCACAATCGCTTTGGCCGGAGTTCGACCCACTCAATGCATCTTCTGACACCATGAAGGCGCAAGGGGGTTCATTTCTTGGATTGGTGTGTCAATTCTTTCCGGCTCTTCAGCGATGAGGACGAGTTGCCATGCTCGTTCTCTCTTCCTTTGCGGTAGTCAGTGCTATGCCAGCATTCAACTAGCCTTGTGTGTGTTGATGGATTTGCAGGCTTTCTTGCCCTTGATGCCCTTGCACTGGCCTTTTTCTTCGCACAATGAAACTTTTGCATTCCAATTAGCATGGGGGTGCCCAACTCACCCACACCACTTTGTAACTTGCGACGAGGGTCAACACCAACACACCCATGCGTCCCATGCACCCACTCATCTACTCGCGCACCCAGCAACTCTCGCCCAGCCCACGGCAGCACCTCACGCATGCGCGTGCTGGCGCCAGCCCAACACAGCGCAACACACACTCACGTGCGTGCGTGCTTGCGCATGACGCCTATGCCCACTGCCCGCTCTTGCGCCGGCCCACTGACAGCACAGGCACTGACGCCCGTGCACTTACGCACGAATACATGCACGCCTGGGATTCACGCCTGCGCATGCTCCCTCACATCCGCTTGCTCAACCTTGCACGCCCACCCATGCGCGGGCCCACCCGTGCAACCTGCGCACACTGGTGCGCCGCTAGCACCTCCTGCCCATGCACCCGCATGCCTTAGCGCCACATGGCCGTGGGTCAAAACTGTTTTGGGGTAGCTGCACAACCCATTTTAGAACCGATTTTAGTGGTTGGATTGGGATGTTCGCGGGGGGTACCATTTGGATGTTGACCCATGGCCACATCAACACAACAGCCAGCCTTGAGCTTCGGAGGAGCTCCACAAGTTCAGCCACACACGGCGAGATGGAAAGGTTTGTCTTCCTGGCTGCTACCCCGCTGATTACAGAGAAGTTCACGCATATTCGGCTACCAACTGTCAGCGGCTAAGTTGCTGGTAGAAATTCGCACCGCGATCCGCATGCAAGTCTGACACAATCCAGAGCTGGCTCGTGAGGTGTTTGTATTTGCCACGTAAGGTGATATCTATGTGCGGGCAAACCTCCAAACTTACTTCGTCACGCTGGTGGCTATTGAGCTTGCAATGTTGGTTCTGCCAATCATTTTGTCCTACTGGGAAATCCTGAAGGACAGAAGACTTTCATGAATTTGCTAGGCTTTCAGGTCTCGGCCTATGGGGAAAAAAACAAATGCTCATGCGGCTTCTGGCTTCTTTCGGTCTTTTGCATCATGTATGTGTTTTTTATTGATTTTTCTTCAAGACTGCATGGCTGCGGGATGTGTTTGATCTCGTCGCTCGCGAGATGCGAAAAGAGCAAACCAGTTGACTTTGCATCCGTCTCAGGAGTACAGGAAATCAGCCGCAGATTCGGAACAGGGCGTGAGATACTCTATGCTGCAATGGGAGGCCAAGAAATATCCCTACACCTTCAATTCCTTTGGCGGTGACAAGATTAACGACTACTTGGACATAGCAATTGCATATTCCGTGCCTTGATTCTCACGGTGGGCATGTCTTTCTTGTGGGTACCCTTTTTGGGTGGTGTTACGCAGGGGTTAGCCACGAAGCCGAAGCCCTTCTGGCGGGTCCGAATGCCAGGAGTAAACTGTTGCGCAAGTGGCACAGTCCCGAAGCTCCACATGCCTGTGGGTCAAAACCAATGGGATCCCATTTTGGTTGGTAGGTGTACCACCCATTTTAGAACCTATTTTAGTGGGGATTGGGATGTTCACTGGGTGTACGGGCTCTTGACCCATGGCCACATATGTTAGTGAGCCAAACACTTCATGAAAGGTGATTGCTATGTGGGGCTGTATTAGCCCGATAATGGCAACATTTGCAACGGTGGCTCTCATGGCCTCCTTCCGCTTGCGCGTCTACCGGATGCTTTATGTCACTCAGCGGCCTTTGCCTCGTGCTGCGGCTGGGCTGGGAGTTTGGAGGAACATTTTCAACTGGATCAATGCGTCTTGGCCAAATAAGCAACTGGTCAAGCGATGATACAGAAACAAAATGCTTCAGCAGAGTTTTCCAGCTCGTGAGTTCAGGTCGTTGCAGTGGCGACCAATGTCGGCCTTGGATACTTGGCTAATTCAGACGGACCTGGCTATGGCCTGACAGAAGTCATGTTTCAAAACCTGCAGACATGCTTCTGTTTGAAGCTTCGATTTCTGTAAAAACCGCATGCTTCCTTGGTGGCTCCCAGCCATCCTCTTAGCTTGTTAGCTTTGTAGGGCTTTAGCGGGTGGGTTTCCATTTGACCCACCAAAAGATAGCCACTTTTAGCAGATCAAAAAAAGGACCGCCCAGCTGCTTTGCCATTGGGATCAATCCCAGGCTGCGTCTTCTTCTATCCTGGCAACGTTCGGCCAGTCTGGGTACAGCTTGCGGTCTTCCTGGCCGCAGAGCATGTGGTGCTGCTGCTACAGGCCACGGTGCAAGCAGTGATCCCAGAGGACCTGGGGATGGAGGGATCCGGGAAACCCGCCACTCCAACCGAGGGCAAACCCGAAAGCCCACGATACATACGTCATACAATACATACATTACATACATTACATACATGACATACATGACATACATTATATACGTTACGTACATTTCCATACATTACATACGTCACATACATTACATACGTCACACACATACACACACTACATACATTACGTACATTACATACATTACATGCGTTACATACATTAGATACATTGCATACATTGCATACATTATATACATTACATACGTCACATACATTACATACGTCACACACACACACACTACATACATTACGTACATTACATACATTACATACATTAGATACCTTGCATACATTGCATACATTAGATACATTACATACGTCACATACATTACATACGTCACACACACACACACCACATACATTACGTACATTACATACATTACATGCGTTACATACATTAGATACATTGCATACATTTGCATACATTAGATACATTACATACGTTACATACATTACATACGTCACATACGCGACATACATTGCATACATTACATACATGACAGACATTATATACGTTACATACATTACATACATTACATACGTCACATACATTGCATACATGACATACACTATATACGTTACGTACATTACATGCATTACATACGTCACATACATTACATACGTCACACACACACACACACTACATACATTACGTACACTACATACATTACATGCGTTACATACATTATATACATTGCATACATTGCATACATTACATACGTCACATACATTACATACATTGCATACATTACATACGCGACATACATTACATACATTGCATACATTGCATACATTACATACATTACATACATTGCATGCATTACATACATTACATAAATTTCATACACTACATACATCATACAATACACACATTACATACATTACACACATTACATACATTGCATACATTGCATACATGGCATACCTTAGATACATCACATACGTTTCATACATTACATACATTACATACATTACATACAGTACATACATAACATACATTACATACATTGCATACATTGCATACATTACATACATTACATACGTCACATACATTACCTACATTACATACATTACATGCATTACATACATTACATAAATTACATACACTACATACATTACATACAGTACATACATAACATACATTACATACATTGCATACATTGCATACACTACATACATCATACAATACACACATTACATACATTGCATACATTACATACGTCACATACATTACACACATTACAGACATTACATACATTTCATACATTCCATACATTACATACATTACATACGTCACATACATTACATACATTACATACATTACATGCAATACATGCATTACATACATTACATACACTACATACATTACATACAGTACATGCATAACATCTTATTACATACATTGCTTACATTGCATACACTACATACATCATACAATACAGCCATTACATACATTACATACCTTTGATACATTGCATGCATTGCATACATTGCATAGATTACATACATCATACAGTACATACACAGCATACATTACATACATTACATACATTACATACATTACATACATTACATACATTACGTACATTACATACATTACATACATTACATACATTACATACATTACATACATTACATACATTATATACATTGCATACATTGCATACATTACATACATGACATACATTACATACATTACATACAACAAATACAACAAATACAACAAATACAACGCACACCTAACATACATTACGTACATTACATGCATTATAGACATTACAGACACTACAGACATACCTTACATACATTACATACAATACAGACATTGCATACAGTACACACATTACATACAGTGCAAATGTTACAGACATTACATACATTACATACATTACACACGTTTTATGCATTACTTACATTACATTCATGACGTACATTAGATGCGTTACAGACATTACAGACACTACAGACATTACAGACATTACATACATTACACACATGACTTACATTACATACACTACATGCACGACATACATGACATACATTACATACAATGCATACATTGCATAGATTAGATACATTACACACATTACATACATTACATGTATTACAGACATTATAGACATTACAGACATTACATGCATTACATACATTACATACACTACATGCACGACATACATGACATACATTACATACAATGCATACATTGCATAGATTAGATACATTACACACATTACATACATTACATGTATTACAGACACTATAGACATTACAGACACTACATACATTACATACATTACAGACATAAGATACATTACATACAATACATACAAGGCAATCAACACATGATTTACATACAGTACGTACATTAAGTACATTACATCCATTACATACATTACACACAGTGCATACATCACATACATTACAGACATTAGATACATTACATACAATACATACAATATGCATGCATGCATGCATGCATGCATGCATGCATGCATGTATGTATGTATGTATGTATGTATGTAATGTATGTATGTATGTATGTCATGTATGTATATATGTATGTATGTATGTATGTATGTATGTTTGTATGTATGGTTGTATGTATGTAATGTATGTATGTATGTATGTATGTAATGTGATGTAATGTAATGTAATGTATGTATGTATGTATGTATGTACTGTAATGTATGTATGTATGTATGTATGTATGTATGTATGTATGTATGTATGTATGTAT